AGCTAAAGGTTTGCAAATGTTGAAACAGAAAATTAAAAGACCATTTAGTAATCGGTTCGTTACCTGTTAACCAATATTATTATGAATCAATCTTTTTTAAAACTAATTTTTGCTTAATAAAATAAGGAAAACAGATTAAAAGGTAAGTTCCTGTTCATTCCCTGATAACCTGAATTTGGTCTTGAATTTCCTTTAAGATACAGCGAATCAATCAAGTTTTCTCTTCATTTTTGTCCAATTTTTTGCTCTCCGCCATCAACCATTTTTATCCTTATTATTGTACTTTTTTTACCTTTCTTCTCGAGTTGTTCATCTATTGCTCTGTTCAGTTTAACATTCAACTTTCACAATGAAAAATCTGTGAACATTTGAACATTTCCTATTAAACATTTTTTTTATATCATTTGATTGTTCCTTCAGGGAAAAGAGTAAAAGTTGTATAAGAAGAAATGTTTTTCTTTTGCCTTTTAACATTCTAATGACAATAATATGTTAATGTTTACTTCAATTTTACCTTGATATAATTGTACAGTTATATTTACCTGAAAATGTGAAAGTAAACAGTTGATGACGTTTTTCTGCCCAATTCAGTGGATCATTTACATCAAATATTGATATTGCCATTGTTTGATACATTTTCCTCATTAATTGTTTCTCCAAGCTTCAAGTTAGATTGTGACTTGAAAGGGTTTTCATAGAGATTTGTCAATTTTTACATTTCGATTACAATTTACAAGCAATTGTAGTTAATTGAGTTAAATTAGTAAATTTGTGCTTAGAGATTGAGGGAAAGTTTCCTTTGATTCTCAAATGTAATTTGATTAATTGTGTGATGAGAAAATTTGGTAATGAAAGAATCAAACTGATTAGATTGATTGCGAGTGGAAGCAGAAGAAAAGTTGGATAAGATGGATTCACTGTTGACGGATTTAATTGTTGCTGCTTGTTAATCATTTGATGTGTGACAATTGAACAGCAAAAAAACGACGCTTCTAATGTGTTAACCAGTTTTGCCAATATTATGACTGTTGACGAAAGTAACATGAAAGTTAAATGGTTTGAGAAGACGATCACGATGGTAATGTTGATGATGTTGAGCCTTGTCTGGATTGAAATATTGTCTTTTCGAGGTTTACTGATTGTCGAAGTGAAATGGTTGAGATACAATTGGCACGTAAAGTAGGTTAAGAAAAACGCTTTTTTGAGAGAAAATTTTAAAAGTAAAAACACGTTATTCTCACTCCTTCTTTTCTTTACCATTTTCTTTAGTCTTTTTCGTCGTCATCTTCTTCTTCTCTTTCCATCATTCCATTCATGTTGTTCATCTGAAAAGAAACAAAAGAGGGTGAGATTGAAGTATTACAAGAATAAGAATAAAAGAAAGGAGTAAATTGGAAGATTACCGTTTTTCCTTAACAGTAATCAAGGTCAGGCTTTACAGAATCAAGTTCAGCTGATTGTCATCTTGTGCGCTTTTCTCATCTTCATCTCTCTCCCAACTCACTTCAATTTGTCTTCTTTTTCATTATCAACTTGGTATTCATTTCAAAACTCATCCTGTATCTGGTCTATCAACTGAATGATTTAATGACCTGATTTCGTCCATGTCATCCGTTTCTTCCAAATCTTTTTTTCTCCTTCTTCTTCTTCTTGCCACTTAACTTCTCTTTCAAAGGCTATCTGATCATCTTGATGATGATTCAAGTGAATGAATGAAATAAAGGGAATAAAGATGAACAAATCATGGAATCATGCTTCAGATAACAAGTTACTAGCTACGCCTTTCGCCAATCATAAACTACTTATTGGAGTACAATTGTTTGTTTATAATGTTAGATTATCGTCTTGATCATCATCATCACTCCTATCATTATCAGCATCTTTTCCTTTAAAGAGAAGAAGAAGAAAAAAAGAAATCAATTAATTCATTTGCTATGAAATTTGAAAGGAATGTAAATATTTTTCAGGAACCTCTTGAAATTTAAATGCAAAATAAGGTGAACATGGTTGAAAATGCATTCTAATTGGTTTAGATTTTGTTTAATTTGGATTCGTATGGATATTTTGCTAGAGTCAATTGCTTAAATATCAACTTAAATATCATTTTTCAATTTATGCACAATTTTCAATGGATTATCGGCAATTTCAATTGTTTGAGTGCAACTGGTTCAGAGGGATTTAGCAATCTCTGCTGCTTTTTGCTGCTTTTGCTTTTCAAAGATTTTTCAAATTCACAAATTAAAATAAATTGATACCAATTAATATTAATTGGTAGCAAACGGACATAACTAGGGATGTGAATGCTTTTGTTACTTTAACTGCATCACAGTTTTGCTTTTCATTTGTATTTCGGTGGTAAAACATACTGAACTTGAATTTGATCTTGAAAAGAACGGAACTTGAAAAATGATCAGAACGGAACGAAACGGATAGTTCAAGTTGAACGCAATGCGAAAAGAGGTTTTTTTTGCATGAAAAAGTAAACCTTTTTAGCATAACGTTTTACTCAGAACGTTGTCTTCATTAAAATGGGCATAAAAGAAGGTAAAAAAAGTGTCAAATAAGCAATAGGCTAAGAAGATGGAAATGAATAGAATGAATAGAATCGCAAAATCGTCCAGAAATGTAAGAATAAGAAGAAAAAAGATTATGATGATAATGATAGTTGTAGATGATAATAGATTTAGGCTATCAAAAGTGAACCATTAGATGTTGATGGTCGACGTTCCGTGAAGCAAAAAGGTAAAAGCTAAGGTTAACCTGAGAAGTAAAAAAAAAGTGGCCCTAGTGGTTGTCACCTTTTTTTGGCCATTTTTTGGCATCCCTTTAATGATCTCATTTTATGCACTACATTCACAATACCAACAGTGTTTGTGTGTTCAGTCTGGTTCACAAAAATTCACCCCAACAGTCAACCGTCCAAATAAATGGGAGAATCTGGAAAAAGAAAGCGCAGAGAAGAAAAAGAAGAAAAAAAATGACAAAAAAAAGATAAAAATAAAATGCTTAGATAAGGTGAGTATATCGACACCTACAATTACTTTTGATGGTCATGATGATGGTCATGATAATGATTATATTTGTGGGTTCATACCAGTTCTCTGTAAATAAAATGCTCATCTTAAATAACATGGTATTAGGAAAGAAAAAGGTTGAATCATTATCATGATAAAGATCAAATTGATGGTCGCCATTTTCATTATTTACCTTTAAAGGTATAAAGCTTGACTTATGTCCGTTTCACTGATGATTTATTTGATTTTAAAAATGATCATTCTTTAAACAGATTAAATGTAATGAACACGGACGTAGCCTGTCAATTGGTTAATTTTGCTTGTGGCTTTGTCTAAATTATAATAACATTAAGTACGTGTATATATAAATATTATTGGCTCCCATCATCACCTTGATGTAAGATTTGCCGAAAATTCACTCAACCAAATTCAAGTTGGCCTATTGGCATTGAAACAGTGACCTCAATCGGCAATTTCAATTTCTTTAAGTTACTTACCTTTCTTTTTTAGAGTACTTTTTTTTGTAGTTTCTGTTGTTGTTATTTCTTGCTTGCTTGATTATTTGTTGCTGTTGTTGCGATGTGTGTTGTCTCTTGTGAGTTGATGTTACCTGTTTCACTCCCTTTTGGCGCTCCTCTCTTTCCTTTCTTTCCTTTCTTCTCTTTGCTCTGTCCGTTTTTTGTATCTTTCTTGTGATGCCTTTAAAATTGTATCATCTGTTTTGGTTAACATCGGCTAATATTGGGTAATATCATCCTTTTTGGGTAACAACAGCAACAAGTTTGCTTCAATGAAGTTGAATACTTTAATTCAAATCTTATCGGGATCCTCTGTTTACCACATTGTTTCTTGTCTGCTTGTCAATTGGAAAATGTTAACCAGACGAGAAAACGTTTGCTTTTGATTTGCCATTTTTGTCTTTTCATCTTTTCCACTTGCCATCCAACTTGCTGGTTTAAACATTGTTATTAACTTGCCAGTTCATTTGAATTGGTAATAATAATTATTATTTAAATAATATTCAGATAAATGTTAATAACAAGTGATGTTGTTGTGGTCGATGAAATAAACGAAGACATAAAGTAATGAACTCTTTGGCATTGACAAAAATTTAACCTCTTAAACAAGTGAAAGGCAAGATTTTGGCAGCAAAAAAATCCAGAATGCAATATTAATCCAAGTACTGTCAACAGGCAACTTGGGCCTGATAATCGATAATGAAGCTTTGTCAAATCAAAAACGCATTGTTTCTTGATTTCGCACTTTAAGCAATTCTTTTTACTCAATCTTATGGTATATTTATACCCTTTCTTGGCAGTTCGTGGGCTATCTGATTTAGCATGAATATCAATGATACAATCCACAATTATTTGCTTTTTGCCACTTTTGGCCGATTTCTGGAAGTATTTCAAATGTTTCTTGCACCAAGAGCCTGACTAGTTGAGGGTTGAGAGGCAGGTAAGTTTTGAGATTCATTAAATCCACCGATTGAACCATGGGATGATCCATAGGAACTAGAAAACGCTAATGGCTGAGAAAAATTATCAAAACTTTGATTATTTGAGTTGTCCAATGATTTTAATTGAAAAATATTATCTTGTGATCTTTGAAAATTTTGATTTTGAGATCGTTGAGACTAATAGCAACTGAGTCTTGATGAGTTGACGCTATGAATTCAGGAAGCGGTGTAGCTTGAGAAGCTAAGAAAGTGTAGAAAAAATTCGAAAAATGTTAATGAATAGCTTTTTCAAAAAATCAGAAAATTAGCTATAAAAATGACTTATATGATAGATTAACCATTTTATGTTAAGCAGCAGACCATAATATGAAATATTTAATCAGATCTAATCCAAGTTGAACAGATTTCAGTATTGAGAAAGTTTAACCAGTCTGGAAGATGGCGCTGTTTAATATGAAATACAGTACCGTTAGATGGCGTGATGAATGTTTTTTATGATACTCTTTGGTTAGGTGTGAGGCAAGGAAAACTGAATTTAGTTGCTGCTTGTAATTGTATAGGTGTTGTTGATTTTTCATAACTTAAAACATCTTCATGATCAGATTCAGGAGCCAAACTGTTTGGTTTAGTGTTTTGATCTCAAAAACACTTTTAAAGTATAATCAATTATATCTTTCATGAAACAATCTTATTTTTGTATAACCTGACTTATTTTTTGTGTTTATGTCAGTTGACCATCTTATCAATATTTGTGTTTAAGGTACGAGACAAGTCAAACAGCAAACCTAATGCAGTCCACTGACTGCTGCAACATACCCTTGGAGATTTATTAATTTATCCTTACCTACATTTTACCTTAATTTTTCTCTGTCTCTCAATCTTTTTTCTCTTTCTTCATCTCTCTATTTCTCTTTCTTGTTCTTTTTCTTTCTACTTTTTTTCCCTACCTCTGTCTCTCTCTTTCTCTGTGTATTGTGTGTGTGCGTCTTCTCTATTCATCATCAACATCATCATAATCATAATCATCACCATCATCAACATCTACATCAAATATCCATTTTTTGTATTTTCTTTATCTTCAATTTTTTCTACACTTCTGTTCCAATGTCTGTCGTATCCACAGGAATGGAAACCAACATTACCCTATGGCAGTTTTTGTTGGAATTACTTTTAAATAATCAGTATAAACAAATCATCACTTGGACCAATACTGATGGTGAATTTAAATTGGTAAATGCCGAGGAAGTTGCCCGTCTATGGGGTTTAAAGAAAAACAAACGCAACATGAATTATGATAAACTAAGTCGTGCTCTTCGTTACTATTATGATAAAAATATCATTAAAAAAGTGCTCGGACAAAAATTTGTTTATCGATTTGTGGCTTTCCCTGAAATTATTAAAATGGAAAATAAGATTCCTTTCCATGTTAAAATGGAAAGTATTTCTAATGGTTCTATGGGTGGGAATGGATCACCAGTGGAAAATATTATGCCATCCGGTATTCCTGGAGGTCCAATTGGTAGTCCACTAAGTGGAGAATCTAATTCAAATGCAAGTAATGCCAGCAATGGTGGTCCAAACAGTCCCACCATGCCGAACAATTTAAACAAGCATATTGCTAATTTGAGAGACTTAAATCTAAATAATGGGAACAATCATCATCCTCACCATAAATTTTTGATGCCTTCTAATGTTCCTCCACTCACCTTAAACTATCCCGGTGGATCTCCTTCACCTTCTCTTGAACCAACTGACCTCTCATGTAAAAGCTCACCTCGTTCTAGTAGTCGTAACAGTAATCATTACAATGGAGGCATCGGTCTCTTACCAATGAATCTTAACGGCAAACGTTTCAATGAGATTGATACTGAATCAATCAGTGATGAGATTGACAGTGACGGAGGTACCAGTAATGGTAGTTCCAACAAAAAGACAAAAGTACATCTTCTTGGCTCATCTTCTCGCTCGCCTTCACCTTCATCAGCAGCTTCTGAAGCATCATTACCAGTTAGTGAAGAGGACAACGGGTCACCTATTAACCTAGTACAATCATCAAGGAGTCGTGATTTCTCAAGAGAACGTGATTCTGACTCTTCGAGCAATACAAGAGATACAAATAATAACAACAACACTAATGGATTAAACAATAGTTCGCGCAAAGCAAAACCCAAACCACCACCGATAACGGGTATTTATTCATTGATTAATAATATCTTAGTATTTCTCTGCATTTTTACAATCTACCAGATTTGTGATTCCCCCCTCTTAACCAGTGATTGTGTATATTTGCTCTGTCATCTCCAAGTTATTGTATCAAACTCTTTATTACAAACATTGTTGGTAGTGATAGCTAAGGTGCTTGATGTACTTGAAAAATAAGTAACAGCACATCTGAAAAGCAATTACTTAGAATCTGATTCCGTTTTCTTATCGTTCTTGTGACTTGATTAATCCGGAATGATAATTGTAGTCATTTTCAGGAAACTTTTGTTTCGTATATTTATTTTAACAGCTTATTAATATTTCTTTTTACCATCAAGAGTCTTCTTTTGTCAAATCTTTCTATTTGATTTTATTCTCATTTTTGGTCTACTGATAATAGATAAAAAGTTGTTGACAAATTCGTTTCCAGTCATTGTCTTCTAAATCTTTTATTGTCTTTCATACCTAGTTATCTATTTAACTAGAGAATCAGACGAGAGGGGAATTGTAGCCCATTAACACATTTTAACAAATGCCTTGAGATGTACAACTTCGTTATAAATTTGAAAAACACAAATTAATGACATTTTTCCTTCTTTTTTTAGGAATTCCAACGAGTCCCACAAGACTAGGAGCAACTTACGCTTCATCACTTCAGACACCGATAGTCACATTTGCATCTCCTTTTTTCAATACAAAAAACACAACTCCTGCAGGATTATTACCCTCGGCGGCTGCAGCATTTTCATTCTGGAACTCATTGTCACCTCTTATTCTGAGTCCAAGATATGGTCCTGGATCACCGGCTGCTACACCAACATCTAGTTCCAATCATTTCCAATTTCCCGTTGGACATCATTTGAGCAGTAATCATTCCTCACCACCAGGATCTGCACTTAATTTACTACCTTCTTCATCAAGTCTAAATCCATTAACGCCTTACTCATTGTCTCCCCTTCTTGCCTCTTCACCTTTTTCAACGTTTGACCCACAGATGTTGTTCTCTCCATCACCATCATCTAAATCAATCTCAGTCCTTCAATAACACACTTTTGAAAACTTTCACTTTCTTCCACTTTCTCATCCTCTTTTCCTTTTCATCAAGAGTAACTACAATCTGTGAATATGTCTATCTTTTTTTTCGCTTTCTGAATAAGAAATTAATCAATATTTGTATTTAAATTACATATAATGATACGTTGTTAAATAGTCACTTATTGAGATTGTTGTGATTCTAGTTTGAACCAGTGATTCGGTTTCTCCGGTTTAACTTAAGTGTCTTGATTAAACAATCAACGGAATTTATTTTTCTTGTTCTAACGATTCATCTTTGTGATTATCATCTCAATAACAATTAACTTAAACTTTCCCTTGAAATTAATTTCCTCTCATTTTTTTGCCATCAATGTTATTCAAATTATTTTACCAGTTTTGACCTTTTTTTGTTAACCATAGCCATTAATATCTTATCTTGATCGTTTTACTTAGGATATAAACTAATTGATATTCCCAAAATGATCAAAGAATTTATCTTTCTTCTCCATTTTAAAAGACTGTGGTGATGATCTCGGAAGATAATGACAAGTGATTTCACTAATTTTCAAAAGTAAACACCAGATATCAGCCGATCAGTCTTGCTCTTCCTTTGAACATGGCTATGATTTGCTTTGACAAGAACAAGGAAGATGTTTATTCATAGTTAATGATCGATTGTTATTACATATTTCATCAGGAGATAATCTAACCAAAAGATTAAATCAGAAGATGAAAATATTTAACATTTCAACAGCCAAAAGACAATCTTTTACAGTAAAAGCCAATCCTTTTCATCACTTAACCCCTAATCAAGCTTAAATTTCTGAACACAATTTCCATTGATTTCAATCAATGTAATGTTAATATAATCATCTTGAGCAACAATCATGTTAATTGTTATGTTATTAACAATGATATTTAATATTGTTTACATTCAACGTGAAAATTGTTTAACAAGAAGCTGTTTCAATTTACAAGTGGAAGTATATTTGAAAATGATTGAAACCCATGAATATTATGGGTTAAAATGAAACCGGAATTTGGGTCAATGGATAACAAGAACCAATGAGAACGGAAATGATATAAAAAAGGAAATAAATTGAAATATTTAAATATAAATATTAAAAAAAGTGTTCCTTTTCACTAAGGGAAACTCATAATTCTTGAATATCTATTTTGTTGAAAATAATTTCAACTTTTCTGCCGATGTTGGTTGAAATGGCGAAAAATTGTCAATGGATTTGAAAAGAGAAAAGGAAAAGAGTAAAACCTTGGATTTTCAACGGAAGTTATGGAAGAGCGATGAATTTATCAACAAGAATTGGACAAATGGCTGATTGTTGTCATGATAATTACTATCCGTATTAATGGTCGGTCAAGCTGGTAACGAATGAAAAATGAAGTTCTCTATCATTCTTTTGGAACATTCGTTTGAAATTTACTGATTGGTTAAAGGAAAGCACAAAGGTTCATGGTTAATGAATTAAAGAATCAAACAAAATGGATTGCTAGAATTGAATCTTCTGCCAACGCAAATAATGTTTACCATTATATTTTGTATCATTATTAGTATAATTGTATAATTCGTTGATTAACGCTCACACAACCAGCAACCTACAATTAATCAACCAACGCTTTATAATCACTGACAAACGATGATGGAAACGGCTAGAAATTAATAATCAAAAGATGTTAGTCTTGTGCTTTTCAATTTATCAGCAACAATTTGGACTCGACAACAACACCATTTGAGCAAAAAAAAATCGGAAAATGTTTGATTATTTTGTTTCTCTCCATTCAAGGACAATTTCATTCTCTAATTGTTACTTTAGCTGTTTTGTTTCAATGCAAAGACTCCGTTGAACTCGCATTAGACATAACCAGGTTTAATCAGCGATCGGGAATTCCTGGCAATGTTGTCAAGGATTCATCAGAATAACTGAAACCTGAAGATGTTAATTTATGCATTAAACTTGTGACTAACCGATAGTGAAAAGCTGGAAATGGTTAGAAAGTCAATCTTGAATGTTGATTGTTTCCTTATCCGTTAAGATTAGAGCAACAGTTATCGGTTTAATATTGCAGATGAATGATGCAAGTAATCAATTGTCTAACAATTACCAGTTTCATTAGCTAATGTTGACCAAAAAATTGAACATTAGATGAAAGGTTCAGCTGACAGGGTCAACAGTGAGAACAGATGATTCTATTCAACAATAGTGATTATATTTATTCACCTTTTCTCGTCATTTATCTGTTATATCAAAGTTGACTATTTTCATTCACTAATTACTTTGTACACATCTTTTGTAACTTGAAATCTCTGTAAATCACTTTTCATATCAACTGTAACAGTTGATTGTGTATTATTGTTGAACAAGTGGAAACCTTGAAAAAGTCACCGAAGTGAATATTTTTTTTTGCTTCTTCTTCTTCTTGATCTATCATTTGATGATGATTATGGTGTTGACGATCCAATCGATGACACAACTATTAACTAAATTTAATGATAATGGAAAGGAAAAGGAAAAGTTGACATTAAGATATAAATTGAAATTGATTCACATTTACTGAGGGAAACAAAATTTTGACTGATTAATATCAATGATAATCGTAAAGAAATGAGTTAAACAAGGATCAATTGGTAATCTGATTGCAATTGATTTTCATTTCTTTTCAAATTGCTAATAACTTCCACAGATTGTTGAGTTTTTTTCAATCGTCAATTCAATAATCCTGATTACCTTTTTGTTGACTTTTCCCCATTGTTATAATTATCACAATCAGAGGATTGATTTTAATCAACAGGCGAAAAATTTCCGGTTCTTGTAACTTTAATTAAACAATGGTAACAAATGTTTCAACGTTGACAATGTAATAGTAAATAATGAGTGAAACTGAAATAATCATGATAATGAAACTTTAAACTATCAGTTGAAATAAGAAGGAAACCAAGGAATTGTTTCAATTATTGACTTGATTAATGGGATGAGATGAACAGTGAATCAAGATAAACAGAGGATGATGTAAACAACCATTTAATTGGTTTGACATAAAGATTGTTGTTTAATTGCGGTTAGTTGGCGAAATCAGGTTTAAGTGTTTACTTCAGTTGCTATGGAAATAAAAATATCATCTTAAAAGTATTGTTGAGCTGGAAATTAACTGTTACATTTGAAGGCCTTGAAATGTTCTGAATTCAATATCTTTTCATTGAATTATTAATTATTGCCAAGTGTTGAAAGTGTCTTGCATTTTGTAGGTTAGTCTCGTTATCATTTTAAATGGAACTGGGTGAGAAATCGATTGCAATGGCGACAGTGAATTGAATCATCGGTGAATCAATTGTTGATGAGAGATTTGTGCAGATTGTACATGGTGATTAGCTGTGAGATGATCAAGATTCTGCTTCTTTTTGCTTTTGCCAGGTTTACTGTGAAAAGAAATGAACAAATGATTAGTATCTCTATTGATTAACTGTGCAACTGTCAAAGTTATTATTGTCTCTTCTCACTAATTGTTATTAATATAATCATAATCATTATAACTTACTTTCTTTTAAAACCAAGTCAATCAAGAATCAGGGTTTACATCAAAGGAGGACAATTTGATTAAATTCAATCAACGGCTGTTATTGGAGCAAAAATTTACTGTCTCTTGTTATTTAATAACATTATTGTTTCTTGCTGATAATATTTCAAATTTTAAACCATATTGCTTCAGATTTTTGTTGCGGTTGGATGAGATTTTACTTTGTGATTTCAATTATCCTGACAATGTCATCAGCATCTACTTTAGGTGAGATACTCAGTTGGATTCATTTTTTAGAGGAACGACGTTTGAATCGACTTGAAGAGTTGTTTTTCAACATGTACAGTTGAACACCAATAGCGCAAATTAGAAACAGTGAAAGTATATATTTGGCGAATTTATACACTGCTGAAGAAGCTTCAATACTAACACCTAGTTTAGAATCGATTGATGGCTTTAGCCCTTTTTTCCATCGGGCAGCATTCGGAGTTTCATCAGCTCCACCTATACAGTCCGCTTTATCATCATTCAGAGATTTTTTTGTCACACAAGGACCACCAAAGCATCTCCAATCTAATTTTTTTGGACAACTGAAATTCGGATCTGAAGAGAGTCAAAATTTAAAACATAATTAGTACTTTTTGAATAATTTCAGCCAGTAGTTTGATAAATCACAGGTGACTGGACGAGATTATGATGTGTACATATATAAAAAGACCCAAAATTGTCTATATTTAGTGTTGTAACCTTATCTAATAGCAATGGATTTAAATTGATGCATATAATAAGATGTTCAAACTTACCGCAACCGTCAACTTCACATTGGTGATAATAAAAACACTCCTCATAAAATTTTGCACAACGGATTCCAGTTTTCAAGTAACATGGCAATTCATCTACTGCACATTTATGCTTTAAAATTTTTTTCTCCTGAGGTTGACAATCATGCCATTCGTCGATCGAATAATCACAGTCAGCAAAACCATCACAAACTTTGCTCTGTGGGATGCATTTTGCAGAGGAACAACGAAACTCTTTGGGTTGACAAACCTTAACTGGTATGGGGAGAATAGGAGAAATACAAAACATCAGTTTGTGAATAAAAAACATGCATCTGATGAGCAATCATTCAGATTATACTTTTCTTTTAACTTACAACAAGCTCTTCGATTATTTTTGGAATGACAATAGCGATGTTGGACAAAGTCTATCAAAGATGAAACACAGTAGCCTGATGATGCTCTAAACTGGCCTGTAGGACAATCTAGAAAGATAGATAAAGAAATAAATGAATAAATGGCTTTAATTTGATACAAAAAGGTACTTACTGCACGAACGTTCATCAGAGGCATCAGGACAATTGGGAATGCCATCGCATCGATACTCTAAAAAAATTAACTTTGTTTTATCAACACAGAGAAATAGGTCAAGTTCAACATTTTGGGTTGCATCGAAAAGTGAAGAGTTAACCTGCAAACTTGAGTTTATAACTGAAAGCACAATGAAGGCGAAAAAAAATAAATTAGAGTTGGAAATCATAATTGGCAAAAAATGACATAGCTTGAGCATTTCGTGGTGAGGATTTTAATAATTTCATTTTTACACGATTTGAAAAGGTTGAATTGATAGAATCCATAAACGGGATTTAAAGTTTTCCCTCTAAAATCAGCTTCAAGTTGATAGAGTCGGGCTTCTAAAGCATAAAAGACAAATCAAAACTCAATACAATAGATGGCAGCTTAGAAGCTGTAATACTGTAATACTGCGGCATTTTTTTGGTTAAATTAAAATAAATTAGATCTTTTTGTTTGTTTTGAAAGAAGCAACGTGCAAGAGCACCAAATACCAATGGTTAAATGCTCTAGAATAAACTGAATTGTATCCTCTGAGCAAAGATTCAGAATTTAGTTCGGTATAAGAACACACTGAACGCTGGGATGAATCAGAAAACACTCGAAATGATTTCTTCTCAACCTTGATTGAATAGCCGAGTTGTAAGAAAATGATACCTGAAGTTAATCAACATCAAACACTATCAATACCACTGACACCCTAAAAATACACATCATTGCACTCGAAGGAAGGATCGAAATATCCCTGAAATGATTCTTCCACCTTGATATTTTCACACAGTTTTCCTCATTAATTTAAAACATAAATTTTGCAACTTATTAAACTGTAACTAAATTAGTGAACTTTAGCTATTCTGTGCATGGCATATCTCATCGTATCCGTTGTAGACTCGAATGAAACTGACCGGATTCGCTCCTCATCATGAGTAATTTTCATTCTTGGATTAGCGATATCCTCGATCCTGTAACAAGGAGAAAGAAATAAAATTTGCAAACTGTGATGATTCTTTGAGGTTCAGATACTAAACTTGACTAATTGATCAAGACGACGATGCTTGGCTCGATGAATTTTGTTGAATAATCTGTTGTTCATTTTTATTATCGTTGGCCAAGAGATGGCTCTCATTCAAATTTCAGGCCTGAACTATTAGAGGTAAAAGTAGAAGTAGACTGTAACCATCCTAAATAAGAAAGCTTAGCAATACTTGTAGTTAACTGGATCATCATAAGCTGATAGTTTTTTCTTTTCAATTTTAACAGGTAAACTTGATTACTGTGAAATGTCTCATTCTTTGTCCGTCATCTTTATCCTGATTGTCCTTGGATCAATGTGTAATGGACAAACTATGAGATTAACAAAGCGCAATTCGATTTCGAGTAAGTAAATTTGAAGTGACTCTTTCATTAGTAGAAAATTATCTGTTGACGAAACAGAAATGTAATTAAATTGAATCTTTAAAAAAATGAATTTATACATTTTTCTATAGATGCTGGTGTTTCTAAAAATTCGGAAAATTCAGCCTTAGAGTCGAGCTGCGTAGTTGACTGTCGATGTGAGTAACTCTATTCAACCCATTTATCCATCAAACGTCACTTCATCTTTACAGAGCAACAGCTGTCATTGAGTTGGCCCAAATCCTTAAACAGTAACGCAACCTGTGACTATTTCTCATGAGATCTTTCATTTTATTATTTCTGAACCAGGTCGATGTCCAGAGAGTCAGCAGAGATCTACCAATCCAATTCATGATGGTATTGATCAAATTCCAGAGCAAATTCACAATGCCTTTTCTTCTCAAATAAGAGAAGCCGATATAATCCCTGAAACTGCTTGGTTATCAATTATTTGAAGCACAGACATGCTTGCAGTTGTCCAATAAATGCATTAACCAATCCTGTGAACTCTGGAAAATTTCAACAGTTTATTGCATAATGCTCAGTTTGTGGTATAAATCAATATCATAAACGTTAAATTGGTGAAAAATGCTTACAGTTTATAAAATAATTTACCAACTTAAATCAAACAAATGTATATTAGTTTGAAATGCAAGTAAATTTCATAGCTAGCTTAGTGAATAATATTATAATAATGTAACAATATTTCGCACGAAAACGTAAATTGCACAATTCACGAGTTAAAATTATTTAAAAATAAAGTCTTGATGACCCATCTTGAAAGCTATCTATAATGAACTTATTTTATGTAATAATTTCTTTTACCTTACAGTTTCATAAAATAATGTTCATCAGACTTTCCTGGAATAAAAGGAAACTTGATGTATAAATTAAAATTTTAGTGTCCGATTGGCTGCTGGGCATTCGCTGTACACAGAGAAATTTTCTAGCTTGCTTATTGCTCGCTAACAAGGTAAATTTGGAAAATATGTTGCTAATCATTTAAACCAACAATTTCCTTGATTGTAACTCTTGAACTGCTTTTCTCTTTAATAATTTAACATGTCTGAATAGGTAGTACGATTGACGTGATCAACTGTTATTTACGTCAAGTGAAATCTACTCTACAAATAATCAAGGTATAAGATACTGTAAATTTCATGTGAAATTTTTTCAAAAATTTATATTAAAAAGTTAATCAGTTTCTTTTTTCTTTCTGAGTTTCAATTTCCCTCTTCTTGTTTCCGTTACTTCGAAATTCACACAATTACAGGGAGCTGATTGAAAATATTACAGAAAAAAATGGATAGAGAGAGTGAGAGGACGAGAGATTGGAAAAAATGAGGACAACAATTAACCCATAGGGCTAACCCATTTATAGGTTCCATAAAATTTGAATCCATACGAAGATTGAACAATATCTGCTTGCTTAGGCCCACGCGAACCATATGTGTAAGGCAATGGTACCACTCTTTGTTCCTCGATTTGGTGTAGAAATGGTGTAAATATCCTCCAAGCTTCAGAGAGCTCATCACTGCGAACAAAGTGCATCTGAGATCCAACGAAAACATCCAACAATAATCTTTCATAAGCATCAGGAACCAACGCATCTTTATAACGATGTCTATAACTTAAATCCAATTCAGTCTCTTCCATATTATCCATTGACATACCGGGTGTTTTTGTCATTAATTTAAGGTAAACAGCTTCACCGGGTTGTACACGTATAACAAGTTCATTTCTTTTACACTGTCCTTGGAAAATATCACCGGATATGTCTCGATATTGGATACGGATTTCCGCTTTTCTTTCGTTCAGAGCTTTACCGCATCGAAGGAAAAAGGGAACACCATCCCAACGTTCATTTTGAATCCTTGCGACAGCCATGGCGAAAGTAGGTGTAATAGAATCATTAGCAACAGTTGGATCATCTCGGTATCCCAATCTTGCTTCAGAACCCTCTTCAGCGGTTTCATCACCGATATACTGACCCAGAACTACATCTTCCAATTTGATTGGTTGCATACTCCTTAAAACTTTTACTTTTTCATTTCTAATATCTTCAGGGTCAGTAGAAACTGGCCGCTCCATAGCCACTAGACAAAGTACTTGAAGAAGATGGTTTTGCATGATATCTCGTATGATACCACTTTGATCGAAATAGCCACCCCGACCGTAAGTACCGAAAGGTTCTTTAAAGGTTATGGTTACAGATGAAATATTATCTCTATCCCATGTTGAAGCAAATATTTTGTTGGCAAATCTTAGAGTTATAACATTCTGAACCATTTCTTTTCCCAAGTAATGGTCTATACGGTAGATTTGAGATTCTTCGAACAATGAGGCTAAGTGTTTGGATAACTCTTCTGAAGAATCAAAATCATGTCCAAAAGGTTTCTCAATAACCACTCTATTCCAGCCAGTTGATGTCATCACATGTCTTCGGATATTCTGAGTTACCGGTGCGAATACACTTTGGGGTAAGGCTAAGTAGAACAGTCTGTTGGCGGTATCTCCTCGAAAAGATTCTGTATAACTTGCATACTCGTTTAACTTTTGGAAATCGCTTTCTTTATCATAAGCACCACTCACGTAACTATTGCGACTCCAAAATAAGTCCCAAAGTGTAGCTTCTTCGGATTCAATTTTGACATGCTTTGCAACCTGTTCCTTAATTTGTTCAACTTGAATAGATGAGCGAGCATAACCAATCAAGAGCACACTGTGATTGATGTTACTCCTTTTAAATAAGTTCCTGGAAGAAAAAAGTAGAATAAAAGAAACAATTAATATCACAATTAACTTGTCATTATGAGCAAATGCAATCCCACTTACTAACCATAAAGTGGGATAGATCTTTTTCTTGGCCAGATCACCCTGGAAAGAGATAAGAAAGTGGAATGCATCATTAAAACATAGGGTTGAATAAAGATTTAGGTTAATGGATTGACAACGGGATCACCTTCAAGTCAGGTTAGAGGGTAAAGGGTAAAATATTGAGCAATATAATCTCTTAAACAGGAGGTAATCTTTTCCTCAGTAAAAAAACCAATTGTCATCCTACTCACCGAAGCTCCAAAAATGATTACAGTTGTATTAACCATTGTGTATTAGATGAAAATAACAGAGTTAAACACCGACAAGGACAAAATGTAATTAAATAACTAATCAAGAAGATAATTACAATAAAAATAGAATAAGAAAAAATAAACAAAATAAACAAAATTAACAATAACAACCAGATGAAGTAACAACGAAGACTAACAACACAACACAGTGAGAGAGGGAAAAGAGTGAGTTAAAAAGAGAGGTTAAATTGAAAATTGAACGAGCAAATACAAATTGGGAAAAAAGACTGAACAGCAAGATATTGATTGATTTTAAATCAATTAAAAAATTGTGTGAACACTGCACTGAGAACTAAACATACAACTAAATGATGTACACAGTTGATAATTCAAACAAGTTGTACAAAAAACTCTTTTCCTCTCGTGAATCAACCTTCTCGTTGTTTCCAACTAAAACCCCTCTCCGCCTTTCTTATCACTTGATATTTATATCAATGCTGAATTGGCACCTCCTTGATTCACATGGTAAGAGGGTTTAAACACAACAATTAACTCGCTTCACTCACTTACTCTGATTGCTCCTCCTAATTTAGATAGCTCTTAAGCTTTGACGTGAATGAAACACGCTTTTTAAATGTTGAACTGATTGAAAAAAAGTAAAAAAGTCGGTTTAATAATGAATTGCTCTGCTTTTGCTGTTTTTGCCTAATTTGTTTCATTATTGTAAATGAATAAACAAAGTTTTAGGTCAAAATCAAATTGACCTCGACCCTGGTTCTAATCAATAAACTTCACTTAACGTTTAAAGGTTAGATGGTTTTAATAATCAAAAAATTATAATTTTTCGATGATAACAGTACAAAAATAGAAATAATGTTCGTAATAGAAAGAAAAATGTTACTCATATAATAATCAAAAAAGCGACCTTGTAAATTGATTACAGCATTACTTGATTGTTCGAGAGGATTATGCTGGCAAGGTAACAATCTATGGAGCTTAATTATTCTTCTGTTTGTTCACAGTTCACGTGTTCTTGTTCATTCGATACATCGACACCACTTGAATTTTTTTCTTTTTCTTGAGCGAGTTTGAAATCTTTCAAGTACTTGTTTAGAACATCAGTTCGGAGGTTCGGTTTGGATGCCAAAGTGATGAGGTGACGCCCGAGTTGATATTTACGTTTTATCTCTTTGGAAGCTGGATTAGGAGCCTGGAAACAAATGATTGATGGAAACAAATGAGTGCATTAATAACATTTGATTAATTGTAATAATTAGATAAAAATTACACTTTACAAACAAACTTACAAAATTTGTTGCATTCGCCATCATTTTTTCAGCAATTTGTCTAGCTTCTTCGAGAATAGACTTTTTGATTCCTGATTTTTCGGCGATATCCAGTCCATAGAGTGGATCTAAATTATCTTCATCTCTTAATCGATGGTCAGCAGAGAAGTAATGGGTTGTCACATTTGGATACATTGAGTCCATTTGATCAAGAGCCGAATAATGAGTCGCACAAAATACAAATGCTTTGGATGATAAAAAAGATTCAATAACTGACCAACAAACAGCTAATCCTTCCTCATAAGAAGTCCCTTTTCCAAGTTCATCAATTATAATGAGACTATTATCGGTGTAATTATCCAAAATGTATTTTATTTCCTTCATTTCATTGGTAAATGTTGAGCAATTGCTTTCTAGTTCATCATCATTACCAACTCTTGTGAAAATTTGATCAGTTAATCGAAAGGTTGCTTGTTCAGCCGGTACAAAGCAGCCACATTGAGCTAAAATTTGGAGAACACAAATATTCTTGAGGAATGTTGATTTTCCACTCATGTTAGGTCCACGTAAAATCCAAATATTACAATCTTCCGAAAGAAATGCATCATTATAAACTGCTTCACTTTTATTGTTTTCTAATAAAAAAGGATGACAAGCTTCTTTAATTGCCGTTATTGAGTCAAATTCAGGTCTAACCATGTTATACTTTGAGCTTGCCATACTAAACGATAATAATAAATCAATGAAGGCAACAATTTCTGTCAGTTTATGGAGACAACCAATCTTTTCTCGGATAGATAGGTAAATTTGTGCAAGTACTTCATAGCTGGTTGCAAAAATGTCCTCTAGAGCTAGCGTCATGTGTGAATTGTATCGCATCATCTCATTTGTTGTAAAGTTGCTGGTTTTACCTCTTTTTTGGACACGAATAAATTCAACTGGTAGATGAGAGTCCATATCAGGTCGATCTCCAACATTCATGGTAAGATGGTAACCTCTAGTCTGGTTGTAGTTGAGTTTGATGGGAAGATTGTATTTCATTCCTAGTTGTTCAACGTAAGATCCCATGTCGCTGATCAATTTATTGTAAATGCCTCTCTTTTTATCCAAAAATCCATCAATATCCTGTTTAATTGCAAAAACTTTTTGATGCTTAATGTTCAAAGCTCCTTTAACCAATTTACAATCCTGACTGATTGCTGTATCAATTATGTTTGCAATTGCTTCAAAGTTGCCATCTTCTAACAAATAGTAATAATGTTGAAAAATTGTATGTTGAGCTGAACTCAATTGTTCTCGTAATGGGTTAATAAGATTCAACGTGTGACGAAGATAAATCAATATTTCAACTCTTCTCTCACCAACTTTCCAACTTTTGGTTTTAGGTTCACATATAATGGCTGATATAATCGATTCAAGGTCGAGAAATTTTGTTATTATTTCAGATGTGTTGAAATGAAATTGAGGATTGGTTAATATCTCGCTAATCATATCATATCGTGGTTCAATGGTTTTAAGATCACTTGAAGGTTCTCGAATGGTGGCTCTCAACAGTCGATAACCAACCTTGGTCTTTGTGTGATCCAAGAAATGTAATAAAGTTCCTTCTGTTTTACCAGTTTGGTGATTAACTATAATTTCCAATGCTTTAGCAGTTGTTGGGTCAATAGCTATTGTTTGTTCAGATCCAGCATAAACGACTTTTATTGAATTCGCAGAAAGAATAACATTTTGAACAAATTCAATGTATTTAATCAGCGCGGCTGCAGCAGCAAGACAATAATACTTTTCTTTTACCTCCATTTCAATTTTACTTTTGTAATCGGGAGCACATAACGAAGTAACAGCTTTGAACCCAACAATATCATTGAAATACTTTCTCTCAACCTTGGTTACCGTGATTGTATTGTTGAAATTGAGTAACAGGCCTAAGAGACTTTTGTTAGTTCCTTCACCAACGGTTGATGACACAATAATCTCAGCAGGATCAAGAATTTCCAGCTTTGAAAATAATCTTGAATAAGTGCATCCATCAGGAAATTGAAATAGTTGCAAAGTTGATCCAATGGCATCCATTGCAGCTAAACCTTTAGAGGAAAATGAGAGTTAGCATTAAAATAGAAAGAAAAAATTTAAAAAAATTACCAATTTCTCCTTTGGCATTTCCACGTCCCTCAGCAATAGATACAATTGTTGATCTGGTTCTTCCCCCTGAGACACTTGATGGACCACTTATCGATCCAGTTGAATTATGTCGAAAATCGCTAATAGATTTTAAAGAGTTCCAATCACGACTCCTGATTGATTCCGACTCGAAATCATTGGAAGTAAAAAGAGGAAAATCTTGAAAAGGAAAGAAAATATTAAGTTATTAAATATTGCAACTTGCAAATTTAAATCTAATTACCATATTTTAAGTCCATACTGCTTGAACATCAATTAAATACAACTAAATCAATAACAGTCGATAACAATTAAATCAAAACCTTGTCAAATAACAAAAAAACCGCTAAGCGTATAAAACGCCTTTTAAAAGTTCTAAGCAAGTAATTTTTTTAAAAACCGATAGATAGCAGCACAAGAAATTGACAACAAACCTCTCCAACAACCACCAATGTTCATCAACCGACGAGCAGTTCAAGATCCGACACCTTTAACCCTGAGAGTCACCGCTTACGCGGACGACCTCATCATAATTCCATCTCCTCGACAAATGGACAAATCAGATCATGCTGCAATGTGCACCTCTGTCATATCTCGTAAACTTCTCGAACTCCTTAAACCCTTAAATCTATCCATTCTCCCTCAAAAATCAAATCTGCTAGTAAATAGATTCCTACTTCCCAAAATTAAACAAATTGGTTCATTCAAAATCCAAACTAATGATAGAGGTAAAATACTAGGAATGACATACATGTTAGGAGTAAATCAACCTTTCCTCACCGATTCCCTGATTGACAAAATTAACATAACCACCAGCAAAATACTAACAAACAACCCCAAAATCATACACGTCCCTCTAAACATATTAACACTCATCACCTCCTCCAAAATTGAATCCAAAGCCTTCGCTTATAATGAAATCCTGCTACCAATACTAATTAATTCCGCCCAAGAAAGAAACAAACTAGAATACGCTTGCAGCCGTATAATAAGAAAAGCTGTAAACTACGACTGGAAACTTAATATCACCACAGTTTGCGCGATCATAGGTCGTACTCCTACTTGGGCAAGAATAATAACTTCTAGCTTAACTAGAATTTATCAAAACCTCACCCAGAACGAGAACCCACAAGAGAGTTTAATTTTCTTTGATAAATACCCAAAACTAGCACCCAGCATATCAAACAACCAAATCTGGTGGGGCTACAAACAGATAATAAACGATCACGTCACAAATCTCATCGACCAACAGTGGATGAATGAAGATCCTCAAAGCAGAGTTATTCTTGGAAAGTGGAAACCTTTAAAAATACGACAAAAAATGGACAATCATATATCGCTTCTACTTGGCAAATACAATTATACCCAAACATCCACTTCCTGTCTATGCGGCTCCAGAATAAACGATCCTATCCACTGGGTAACCCAATGTCCTAAAACTGAAACTGAACGTCTAAAAACCCTAAACGACCTCAATATTGACACCGCAGACATCATCCCAACTTTTTTACAACCTTTCTCTACTTCACTTTTTTACAACCTTTTCGAGGCTGTCTTCCAAACACATATAATCCCAAAGTTTGACAAATTAAATCCCCTTAAAAACAAACCTCGCACACAAAAGCCTAACACTAAACCAAACTCCAAAAATAGTAAAAAACAAAAATCTCAACCAATACCTTAACTCCTTGAAACTCACCTCAAATGTATCATGTCAAACCAGGAAAACTTTCATCTACGGGTCTGCGTAATTTCAAGCAACCCTCTTTGTACCAATGCTAAGACCGAAATAAACAATCCAGAATAAACGATCCTATCCACTGGGTAACCCAATGTCCTAAAACTGAGACTGAACGTCTAAAAACCCTAAAAGCCTAACACTAAATCAAACTCCAAAAATAGTAAAAAACAAAAATCTCAACCAATACCTTAACCCCTTGAAACTCACCTCAAATGTATCATGTTTAACCAGGAAAACTTTCATCTACGGGTCTGCGTAATTCCAAGCAACCCTCCTTGTACCAATGCTAAGACCGAAATAAACTTAATCCTAGAAGTGTGACAAAATCTTTCACCTATCGACGACAACATCATTACTTGATTGTATTAACGATAGTGTTCGAAATGCAGCGGCTTCCTGTTTAGGAACTCTTTGTAAATGGTTATCTAATGAGGAATTAGAAAATGTTGCGAAAGATCATCTTCTAGAAGATGAACCAACTTCATATTGGAATAGACGCCATGGTCAATCAGTAGCTCTACGAATCGCTTTAAAAGAGGCACCCGAAAGAATGCTTAAACCAGAATGGGAAGAAAAGGTCGTCAAGCATATCCTTGCTCAACTAGCTACAGATCGGATTCCTGTTGTTTGCAGTGGAGTTAAATCTTGTGCCTATGTTTTTCTATATAAAATACCAAAAGATGACCAATTGCCTCAAAATTTAGTTTCCAGTTTTGCAAGAGTTAGTTATTTTTATTCATCAATTTGATTCATTCTTTCACATTGCTAATCCTTTCTCTTTCCTTTTTTGCAGTGTATGAATCACGCAAATAATGAAGTCAAACAAACGGTGGCTAATTCATCAATATATTTAACTAAAAACCTCCCATGTCCGTTCCCAATGAGCTTCCTAAAAACACTTGTCCCCTTATTAGTTATGGGAACGAAAGAGAAAAATACGGCTGTTAGGTCAAATTCGGAGCAAGCCTTGGTTACTGTTTTGAAATTAAGATCAGACGAAGAATGTGCTCAACAGCTGGTTGCTGCTTTAGATCGTGGTGCTAAAGAAGTCCTTCAAGAATGCATAAGCAAAACTTTGAAAAAAGTGTTGGCACAACCAGAACCTAAAGAAGAGCAGTTTGATGATACTTTACTAACATGATTGCGCGAATTGGATTAATTTTAATTTTCTTCCCTTTCCTTTCGCATTCATACCTTTTTTCTTGAATTTTCTAAATCACTCCAACTTGCTAACTGAATTTAATAAAAATATTTTGAAGACATTATTTTGTATTAAATCTCATTTCATTCCCGTTTCATTAAATCGCTTTTACAATCGGATGACAGTCTCTGAAGATGTTTCAGCTGCCTCTTCGGATAATTTAAATCTATCACTAATCAGTGCCCATCTCCATTAACTATGACAATTAGCAGCGTCGTCATGCTATTGATAGTTTTACTGTGCAAGATTTAACTAAACAAACCATTGATGGTAGAGATTATTTTTTCAACTAATGACAGTATTCTTAATAATCCTTGCCCAACGTAAAAGATCCAGCAGCTATAATCGATTGACAGATAAACAATCAATCATGTATTATATTACCAAGTGAATCTTCAATTAGTAAAATGAATAAAAGCGCTATTGACGGGATTGGATTAACAATAGACTGTTAAAAACTACTTTTCAGAAAGACGCAGCGCTAAGATTTAAGTAATGAAAGGATTATATAAATTATAAAACTAAAATTGCTTTAAATGGGATACTAAAAAATTGCTTTAACCGGTTACTCGACAGTAATACTGCTGCCGAGAAGTCCGAGTCAAGGAATCCAACAGTTGCGCTATAACTGTTAGTTCTTTGTATGATCGTCTGCATTTGGATCAAATAGAATCATTTCATTTCATGATCAGTCTAATCATCTATGCAAATATTAAAGGACGAATTGTATGAAATCACATTACTATTTAAAGCAAGAAATATCGTTGCTCCATAATCAAAAACTTTAACCCGCTAGTGTTTGAAATAAATCATAAATTCTCTATTACCAAATCGATCCACTTAAATTTGAACAAAATTAGTAAAACAAGAGAAAAATAATTGATTAAATTAGGCCTGGGCATCTTTATTAATGGCGGGAATTTAACAGAACGAGTATCCAAAATAATATCGATTTTTATTCATCTAATCGGCCATTTTAATCACTTCGCGCTGAAATAAAGCATGTTACATGCATTAATTTCATACCTACAAGGCCAATGTGCTCCAGAAATTTAATTTATTCAATTTTCAACAAACTTAATCAAGATAACCAAAAAAATTTTTTCATGGAACCTTACAAAGACTGGATTCAATCCAATGGATTGAAGTTAATAAACTGTTTTGTTTAAGTAACAGTAGAGGGCTCTGTTTTCGTGGGCGCTTATTTGTTAGCTGAGAAATTTTCAGCAGCTTCAGACAAAATAAATTTAATGTTGATTAATTCTATTTTAAACAATTTTATTTTTTCCATTATTCATTGTAAATTTTAATTGTTGTTCCATGTAAATACATCTGGTTTCACTATGCCAGGATATCTTAAATTCATCGAACTTGAAAACTTCAAGTCTTACAAGGGACAACAAAAGGTTGGCCCATTGAAACCTTTTACCGCGGTTATTGGACCCAATGGAAGTGGTAAAAGTAACTTTATGGATGCAATTAGTTTTGTGCTTGGTGAAAAGGCATCCAATTTGAGAGTTAAAAAATTATCTGAACTGATCCATGGAGCATCAATAGGTCGCCCTGTCAGTAATTCAGCATCGGTCACTTTGGTGTATGAAGACTCCGAGAGTGGTCGACAGACAAGGTTTTGTAGGTATGTGCAAGGAGCCAGCTCGGACTATAAGATTGACAACAATCCAGTGTCAAAACAGGATTATGCCAAAAGGTTAGAAACTCTTGGAATTAACGTGAAAGCAAGAAATTTTCTTGTCTATCAAGGAGCTGTGGAGTCAATTGCCATGAAAAATCCACGGGAAATTACTTCACTGTTTGAAGAAATATCTCACTCTAATGAGTTTAAAGAGTCTTACATCAATGAAAAGGTTAGTAAAAATAACTTTATCTATATTATTAATTCTATTGTAAAAATATTTAATTATTATTGTTAGCTACCAGAGTCAAAACTTGAATAAATTTTATGATCGCGTTTGAATGAGTTAAACACTTTTATTTTTGGTTTGTAGAAACTGTGAACTAATTTAAACAGATACAAGGTTGTAGACTATATGGTTTAAGGAACTGATTTTTGATTTAAAGGGAAGATTAAATGAAGTACATGGGTGAGGATTACATAAAGATTAATACTTTAAAAGGGTAAACGGTTAAAATGAGTTAACAACTACTGTTCCTTGTTGTCTTCTGTCTTTTCCTTTTGTACTCTTTTCTTATCTTCATGGGGTAATTTAGGTGACCAATGATTGTAGAGTTGATGAAGTAATTGGTTTTAGATTAGATTTAATGTTTTCCCCTTTGTTAGCTATTCCCCTTTCAATAATGATCCCTTGCCTCAGCATGTTCTCAAGCCTGAGGTTTGCCTGAGGTTGACAGTCAGATTGGTCTTGGACCAAACCGCAACCAGATAGAGCTACATGTTAAGTAATGCTTTCCCCTTTGTTAGCTGTTCCCCTTACAGAGCCCCCGGGTTGACGTTGGTTCGGGTGTCGACGTGAAATTGAGGATTGATTGCTACTTAAGTATCGATCAATTCTCAATTCATACGCCGCGAATTCCAACGACTCTCATTCTGAGGCATAAACTGATTAAAATAATTCATCGGAATGTTTGAGTATGGCGGTCTGGACAGAGACTCTCCGTTCACAAGCCTATCAATACGGCAGGAGTTTGCAAGTCCAAATGGTCCTTTCCTTAATATTATCGGCCAATCTTTTATTTTCCTCATTATTTTCCTGACTAAGTCTGCCATTTGCTTGTTTTTAGGGTATCCTTTATGTACATAAGGTTTCTCAATTCTTTCAGTTGATGTTTCATGAGTTTCCTCGAATGCTTCCACGTCGATGAGGTAAGAGAAAAGCGTGTAACCTGCATCGGTAACTGGAGAGTGATGTCCTTTTTGGATTATAGTTGTGAATAGGCAGAAGATTATATATCTCAATGCTATCTGTTGCTGGTCTTCGAAGCAATTGTAATAGTAATTAATTTCTCTAATTTTCGGTTCAATAATGTCCCAATCATCTGGGTTAAATCCTAGTGACATAAAGTCATTACAACCACTTGCAACAACTATCCGATCGTATTCGTTGAGAATTGGAATTAGCTTTCTTCTTATTATTGGAAAAGCTTCGGCTCCTTTCACAATATCCCAATTTACTCCATGGAATTGAGTTCCCATATTTGCAATTGACCCAACAGGATACCTTACTAGCTCATTAAAACGTACATTGGCTTCCATGTCAACTACAGCGATCCAAATTGGTAGCTGTTTGATTCCTTCGAGCGTGATTATATCTGCCTTTTCAATATCAAGGGCACAAACGCGTATTCTCTTTTCGTTAAGTTTTTGTCTAGCTTGGAATATTAGATCACGATGAATGTTGTTTTGAAGGCTTAGAACATTTTCTGGATTTGATTTCTCTTCAAGGAACTTTGTTATTCTTTCTTTTCTTATTCTATCTTGTCTTCTTAAAGTTCCTTCAGCTGCACATCTTTCTTCAGTTCGTTTTTGTTTGAGTCTCCGTTTCAATGCTTTCTTGTTATTTGCGTACCTTGGATCGTTTCGAATTTCTTCGACTGTTCTTGCTTCTTTTATTTTGATGATTGCCGGCTGTAATGTTTTTCTAAGTTCAACCTCTATTTGGGTTTTAGGCTGGTATGATGTAGACGGAGAATCTCTGTCTACTGTAATATCATCTATTTCCCATTCATCTGCTACTGATATTTTTGCTGCACTGGCTACTGCTCCTGAACCGAAATCCCATTGGCCCCATTCTGGTGCGTCTTCTACTACTGTTGCTCTTGATGTTGATGGCTTTGGTTCTGATTGTGGTTTTGGCTGGGGTTTGGTTGAAGATTCTGGTTCCGGTAGCGATTGTGAAGAACTTGATGTTATAAATTCTTCTTCAGAGTATAATAACTCTTCTTCTTCAAGTAGCCAGTCTGCCGTGTAGCTTTTATTCTTTTTAACTTTTCTCATCCAATTTTCCTTTGGTGTATTCGACGCTTGAACTGTTTCAGATGGTGTTGGCTCAGTTTCCGGAGATTCTCTAGAAATCTGAGCTTCTTCGTTGTCAGTTCCCTTTACCATGGCTTTTGGTAATCCAATTCGTATGACTTTATCATCCGCAATGCATATTTCTGCACTGAAACCAGACTTTGGTATAAATCCTTCGGGTGATTGAATCATAACTCTGGCATCGAAAGCTTTAGTAAACTCAACTGAATCAATGATTGGATCTTTCTCAGAGTCCAAATCAGTTGCACTGTATTCTGATGTTTGTTTCTGCATGAAGTATAAGATGTTAATGATTGAATTTATTTTGTAAATTTTCAAACTGACTCTGCAACTTTCCATGTGTTCAATGATTTCCATGAACTTTCCACTATGTTTACAGTGACCATCTCTACATTTGACTTTGAATTCTCTGAACATATTCATTTCATAAGAGTTAATTTGATGTAATTTGTGCCTTAGATTGTCAGGACATGAAATACATCTCGAACTTCGCTGGTATCAGGACAATTATTTCCTCTTATAATATTGTCAACTTTGACCAATAATACGGCACAATTCCAACAGTAAAGACCTTTACACTGTTCACACTTTACGATGGTCTTTCGATAAGGATGGGTTGGAACATGATTACAGAATTTACATGAGATTGACAGCATATATCTAACACTATCCTTTGGCTTTTCTTCTAATACCAATCCAGGTGTATAACCATCCAATTTTACTTTTCCTCCGATAATTTCACCAAATTTTCTCACCAACTTGTCTTTTACCATTATGAATAATGAATATTCTTCAACACGAGAATAATTTCCAAGTGTGTCCATGATTGTAACAATTGGTGATTTCACTTGTTGATTAATTAAATTTTTACGGCTCGAGGCACGGAGACTCTCTGTTCCTCGAGATAATTATCACTAATTATAAAAATCAGGGTGATCTGATGCATTCAACTTTGAAGAATTAATTAAGCACAATTTGATTTATGACTGATGACTTTGATAGGTGACTTTAAACTGTGACTTTTTACTGCTAGTTTTTTTTTCTCTTGTAATTAATTCTTTGTTCCACTTGAGGGGGCGATAATCGATTTAGCTTTTATTAGCCAATCAAACATTCATCTTTCTTTATTAGTCGTTTAAAGCTTCAATAACCACGTTTTATTCTGGTTGAATATTTAATTGTGAATTTGCTGATTTCTTTGATTTTGTTCTTTGTCTTTTGTCTTTGATTCTCCGACTTTGATTTTTGATTCTGCTTTGATTCAGGTATGTTGAATATTTCATTACTGTTTTTTTTGACTGATTCATGTTTCTAATCGTTTCATTTTTCTTCTCTCTTCTTACGAGTCATATATTTTTTTTGTGAGTTTTTGGTAATCTTGATGCTCAAAAACGGACGTGTGGCCTCAAAGATGGAATGACAGAGATTCTCCGTCATTTCTATTTCGACGCCTTCTCATATTTTCTATTACCAGCTATGGTTATGATACTTGACCCTCCGCCTCAAGCTGTTCTCAGGCATGAGGTTTGACTGAGGTGAACAGTCCGATTGGTTTGGCACCCAATTGCAACCAGATAGAATAACATGTGATATGTGTTTTAAGATCAAATTTGTTGTTAACGTTCTTATTTGATGGTTTTGATGATGATGATGATAATGGTGTTGAATACGGAGATTCTCTGTAACAATTTGCAGGTTTCGATGAAAATTAATTTCTTTTTCTAGTTTGCATCTCGTGAGGAGGAAATTTTCGTTTTTCGTATTTTCTTTTTGTCTCCGAGTTTTCATTTTGACACTCATCTTTTACTTCTTCTTCTTCTGATAGTGATTCTGAATTGATTGTTTCTTTTTCTTCTTGGATCTTGCTCTCTTTGTTTGTATCTTCGGGAAACCTTTTCAGTATTTTGTCGTAATTTGCTGGTTTTTCACAGATTATTTTCTTGATGCGTTCATAATTTACTATTTTCATTTTCATACTGTAGATTTCAATAACTTTTGCTACTGATTTCAATGCTTGAATTATTATAAACTTTCCACTAAATTTAGGTCTCATAAATGATGCTCCAGTTGTATATGGGATTGGTTTTATTTTAACCATATCTCCTCTTTTGAAATCAATTTCTTTGACATTTCTTTTCTCTGCATATTCCTTTGAGTTTTGATCTAACTTTTCTTTGATTTCTTTTCTTACTTCTGATATGTCTTCTGAATGGTAATTTGTATCGAAATTCCAAGTATTGTTGATAACGACTCTGGGTTCATAGTTGAATAGCAATTGGTGAGGACTTTTTCCTAAGTTTGATTTGATTGATGTATTATAGCTGAAAATTAAGTTCTGTAATTCTTGATCCCATTCATTCTCTTCTTCGGTAAAAATGAAGATTCTCTGTTTTATGATACCGTTGATTCTTTCGACCAAACCGTTAGTCTGTGGATGATACGGTGATGAGTTGACTAATTTGATTCCATATTTATCTGCGAATTCTTTGATTTCTTTCGATGTAAAATTTTTGCCATTGTCTGTTTGTAATATCTTAGGGTAGCCAAATAATTGAATGATTGATTTTAAAAATATAATAACATCTGATGATGAGCCATGTTTAAATGCTTGTGCTTTACAATATCTCGTTAACATATCGGCTGAGACTAAAACATATCTGTTTTTGGTTATTTTTGCTGCTGGGAATGGACCAATCATATCCATCTGAATTCTTTCAAAGGGTTGATTCGGAACTATCATTGCTTGTGCACAGCTTTCTTTCCTTGTTTTAGATTTGAATTCTTGACATTTTTCACATGAGGCAATTTTCTGTTGGATTATGTCTTCCATATTAGGAAAATAGAAATGCATTT